AGGTACCTAACTGAACTTTACTCCTATAACAACACCTTAACAGCATTTTCTATCACAAGCACTTCTAAACTGGCTAAGAGAGGTAGTTTAATTTTACTTTAAGTAATTTGTCAGTATGATGGGTCACAGAGGGAGTGTGTGGGGAAGGCATTCAAATTGTTAAGTAAAACACTAATGAACCTAAGCTGGTCATATTAATTCCTTTAAAAAACACACACACTTCAGTGTCTTAGATACAAAGTTTATGTGACTACTGAAGTAGGGATAATTACTCTTGGTTTTCTTTTTATCTATGACCATTCTCTCTCTTCTTGTTTTTTCACCAAAACAAACTGCCTCTCATTGACATTAGCAGGATTCAGCAAGGTTGGCTTATTTAATAAGGAGCAAGGAGAAGACTCCAATCCAAACTTTTCCTGAAAATACGTAATTATTTAATGCAATCCTAGCCAGTAGCTATGTAAATCATAGATGTAAACCTACAGAATTTTAAGTATTTTATTTACTTAATTTTTTATTTACTACAGAATTTACTATTTTATGATAATCAAGAAAAATAAATTGGTCACTATAAAAAAATTTTTTTGAAACAGTTAACATTTAGCAAGGATAGCAAAGAATATTTCAACTCCACAAAGAAAAGAGAACACAGTGGAAAGAACAGAGCTTGGCATAAGTCAGCAGCTTGTCACTTTTTAGCATATACAAAAAACAAAAAAACAAAAACAAAACTATACAATAACAACAAAAGCAATAAAATACTTAGAAATAAACTTAACAAAAAAACATCATGAGCTTGCTAAGTAAAACTCCTGAGAGACACAAAAGTTAACTTGAACAAATGGAAAGATACCTCTGCTTCCTAGAATGGTAATTAAATAATACAGATTAGTTCTCACTAATTTATAAAGTTAATAAAATTCCAATTAAAAATATCAACAAACTTTTTTATGGAATTAGCAAAAAAAAACAAAAAACAAAAACACCACCAAAGTTCATATGGAAAAATAAACATCTAATAAATAGCTAGACAAACATGAAAAAGAAAAGCTACAAGGGAAAATTAGCCCTTCTAGACAAAAAGAACATACTATAAAGTTCTACGATTAACAATGTGGTACTGACACTGGAATATGTAAACGGCCTACTGGAAAAGAATGGAAAGTCCAGAAATAGACCAAGTACAGGTGGAAATTTAGCATATAATAACAATGGCATCTTAAATCAGTGCAACAAAGATAGACCTTTCAATAAATTGTATTGAGACAATTGGTTAATGATTTAGAAAGGATAAAAATTAGATCAATAACTCATACCATACACAGGAATAAATTTCAAATGAATCAGGAATCTAAATATAAAAAGTAAAATCTTATAACTATAAGAAGAAAATAAGGCAATCTACTTTACCTGAGGAAACTGCTTTTCTATAAATAAAGGCTTTATAGTAAAAAGGCTTTCTAATCATAACTCAAAATCCAGAAATGATAAGGGAACAATAAATCTGACTACATGGGGGGGGTGTTTTTACATGGCAAAAATAATAATACATAAAGTAAAAATACTACACATATCACAGATAAAGACTAAATCCACAGTAAACTCTTCAGAGGTAAGAGAAGACCAAAAATCCATTTTTAAAATGGGCCCCAAAAAAGTACAATTCACACACACACACACACACACACTAATGTATTACCTACCTTTCATGTAAGAAAGAAACCAAGAAAATTACACTTAACTGCTCATTTATGCAAAAAAACAGAAAAAATAAACTAAACCATGATGATATTGGCCATCTACAGAGAATGAGTGAAAACAAGACAGAGGGAATAAAAGGGAAAAACACTTGTATATTTCTGACCTTTGGAACCAGGTTAGTGTTTCACAGATTTTTTTTTTTTTTTTGAGCAAAAATAATGGGGCCCGGCCATCATGGCTAAGTGGTTGTGTCAACCCATGCACCCAGGGGTCACCAGTTCGATTCCCGGTTAGGGCACATGCCCAGGTTGTGGGCCAAATCCCCAGTGGGGGACGTGCAGAAGGCAGCCAATCGATGTTCTCTCTCATCGATGTTTCTATCTCTTTCCCCACTCCTTCTCTCTCTTTCTATAGTCAATAAAGAAAAAACAAAATCAAACAAACAAAAAAAAGTCATGGGGATAAAGTTCTAAGAGGGATAGATACATACAGAAACAGATGAACAGGTATTTCAAATGAAAAACCTAAGTATGCTAGAGGGAAAAATTTAAATTAAAAAAAAAATTGTAATTAAAAAAAAAAAAGAACTAAAAAATATGTTTTGATACAGTGATGATAAAATGTAATAAAACACTCTGGCCCTGGCCGGTTTTGCTCAGTGGTTAGAGCGTTGGCCTGCGGTCCAGAGAGACTCGGGTTTGGTTCCTGCTAAGGGCACATACCTCTGTTGCAGTTTGTCCCTAGCCCTGATTGGGTCATGCGGGTGGCAGCCACTTGATGTGTCCCTTTCACATCGATGTTTCTCTCTCTCCCTCCCACTCTATCCAAACAAAAAACAAACCAAAAAATGTCCTCGGGTGAGGAAATAAATAAATATATAAATTAATTAATTAAAAAAACACTCTGGAGTCAGACTACTTGGATTCAAATATTTGTCCATTTATCCATGTGCTAACTGTGGGATCCTGGACAACTTTATTTATAATTTCTCTGTGCACAGTTTGCCTAATCCAAATAACAGTACCAATCTCACAATACTAATGTTAAGTCTCAAATAAAACTACTCATGTAAAAACCTTAGTAGATCATTGAGTACATAATAAGTATTTGTAAGTATTTGCTATCATCAACTACTAATTAAAAAAAACATTGAGCCCTGGCCAGTTTGGCTCAGCGGTTAGAGCATCGGCCTGCGGTCCTGAGATACGCGGGTTTGGTTCCTGCTAAGGGCATGTACCTCGGTTGCCGTTTGTCCCTGGCCCTGGTCGGTTGTGCGGGTGGCAGCCACTCGATGTGTTCCTTTCACATCGATGTTTCTCTCTCTCTCTCCCCCACTCTACCTGAACAAAAAAATGGAAGAATGTCCTCGGGTGAGGATAAAAAACAAAACAAAAAATATTGAATATATATATATGGGTATCCAAGAGATATTCATAATAAAAATGGAGACCTTGTCATGAAAAAAATTTGGAATTTGCTAATGTTCAAGGAATTTAGAATAGCAAAATCCATATGGCTGGCTGGAATAATCTGGGAAATTTCATAAAGAATCTGGCCCTGGCCGGTTTAGCTCAGTGGTTAGAGCATCAGCCTGCGGTCCAGAGAGACCTGGGTTCAGTTTCCCTTAAGGACACATACCTCGGTTGCAGTTTGCCCCTGGCCCTGGTTAGTCGTGTGGGTGGCAGCCACTCGATGTGTCCCTTTCCCTGTGGATGTTTCTCTCTCTCTCTTTCCCTCTCTCCCTCCCACTCTGTCTGAACAAAAAGTGGAAGAATTGTCCTCCGGTGAGGATTAAAAAAAAGAAAAAAAAAAGATAGAATTTGACATGGGTCTTAGATTTAGATAGCAGAAGAATGGGAGTGATATGGAAAGATAATGGGAATCTGAATAAAAGCAGACAGGCCATAAAGAACAATACAGATTAAGGACAGTGACACAGAAAGGTTGGAAAGATGAGTATTTAGAGATTAGGCAAGACTATGGAAGCTCCTGAATGCACAATTGAACTGGGCAGGTTTTATTTTCTAGACTATAAGGAACCATAGAAGATTTGTATGTAGGAGGAACAATATGACCAAACTGAATTGTGGGATTATTGGAGTGTTGGTATGAAGAAGGGATTAGAAGTGAGAAGATCAGAGGTAGAGTCTTACAAGTGGTTAAGTCAAATAATGGCAAGGGCCTAACTAGAAAAGTAGTGATGAAAAAGGAAAGAAGGGATAGATCAACAAGACAGTGAGGAAAAAAATAAATCAACCAAGTTTGACAATGACTGGCACTGAGATACGAGAGACTGGGAGGTTTTAGAGAATGGAAGAGCCTGAATAACAAGGTGAATGATAATGCCATTAGAAGGAAGGATAAAAGGAATGTGAACCAATAGAAATGATTTCCACTGGGTCTGAAAAGTTAAGTCAGGGTTGTATAAGAAGCCTTGACAATTTGAAATAACAGTGCAACATTCAGACACCAAGATCCAGTGGCTATTTGGCAAAAAAAAAAAAAATTAAAACCACCTTAGAATGTTTGAGACATTCTAGAGCATACAGACAGACACTAGACTGTGTGCTAATCACCTGTTATTTATTTTTATATCCCTTAATGTTTAGCATAACTCCTAGCACATGAGAGACTCGCAATAAAATGTTGCAGAGGTGGGAGGAGTAGAGAAAGAATCAGAACTGCATGGCTTACTAATGGCAGAGCCTTGACTATAGCCCAGGTCTCCTCTCTCTCCACTTATCATAACATACAGATGATCTGAAAATATCCATGCACAGGATCCCCTAGAAATAATGCAAGACATAAAATAAAACAAACTGTTAGGATTGCTGGTTTATAGTGGCAGATGGAAGGGGTACATAAGAAAGGTCAGATTATTGGGGGGAGGGTGGTAGTGCTGAATCACAGATTCAAAGGAAATTTTTTAAGAAAGGAAGCATAGTAAGAAATATCAAATGATCCTCTGCTACAGGCAGCATTTCTCTGGTCTCCTACACCAGTGAGACTCAAGGCAGGGAGAGGTAAGTTTTTAAAAGTATAAATTAAGATGTTTTAATGTACCTTTCACAGCATTTTAAATACATGAATCACTCATAACAGTGGTTCAAAAATAATAAGGCAATCTTCAGTAAACTTTGTCTCTACAAAATACATAACAGAAAATAAAATCACTATTGCACATAGTTGAGCTGAACAAAAATATGCACGATAAATAAAATTTGAAGCAAAAAGAAACTGAAAAAAATCATTTACATGTATTGATAGCAATGAAATACATGAAATACTAAGGGTCGTACCTTAAATCTTTTGTCCTGCAATACTTTCTTGATGGCAACCAATTCTCCTGAATCACAAAGTTTGGCTTGATATACCACACCAAATGACCCATTTCCAATCACTTTAGTGTCTGTATAGCTGACTTCTTGTGGCCTGTCTGGACCCTGTCCAGGAGTTGCCACCACTGTGGTCACCTTACTGCCATCCTTGTCTCCTAAAAGAAAAAAGGTACAGAAAAATGAGAAATATAAGGAATTAAACAGAGAAGACTGCCAAAGTATACAAATTAAACTATATTCTTTGCCACAAATTATTTTTAAATGTTTATCTTAGTTTATCATATATAATTACTTCAACTATTTGTTTCAATTTAAGTATTTTTTAACCACCATTTATTCAGTCACTCTATAGACCGGATACCAGGCTATATTTAATGACTCCTTATTTAATGGAAACAACACTATGAAGTTGATAGTATTGTTCCCATATTAAATATAATGGGGAAAAAGGTGGACCCATCTGTCCAACTCTAAAAGCCCTAGTTATTTCCTCAAGGCTTCCTTATTTTACTTTAAAATAAAATATGTGAAGCGAAATGTCCAAATATGCTAACTCCATTCACACCACTCTGCCTTTAGGAAGGTAAGGCTTTGAGATTTTTGCTTCTCCATATCTTATTTCCTTTTCAGGAAATAGTGGAATACCTACCAAAGGTCTGATGGGGGAAAGTAACAGGGAATGTTAATTTGGGGGTAGAAACACAAAACTTAAAAGGAAAAAAAAAAGTCAAACCTATTCTGAACTTAGCCTCATTCACAGGTAGCTCACTGGCTCTGGGGTTTCTGCTCACTCATGACCCTTTCCTTATCTTTTTTGCCTTCCTTCCTCTGATCCAGGAACAATCCAAAGACTCTCTGCAAGTCAAGCTCAACAGCCACTTCCTACTTGGCATAGTTCACAATCATCTTTTCCTCTCAATTCTTAAACTATCTAAACCATAATATGCTATCTAGCACCTGATTTTAGAGCTTTAAATTGTTCTTTTATTGATTTCAGAATACACACAGAATCTTAAGACTACAATAATTTGAAGTAGCAATTATGATTTCTGTTTCTTCTCTCTTCCCTGACAAATCTAAAACCAATTATCAGTACAATATAAGTCCACAGGCTCAATGACTAAATTACACATTTCCCTTTTCATCCTCTACTACTTTAATTATCAATTTTATTTTTAAGATGCTGACTGAATTCATATTAACCCAATAAAAGAAAAAATAATGTAATATTTAACTCTAGATAACAAATCAAGATTATGAAGTATTCATTTGTACCTCACACATATAAAAAGATAAAATATATGATCTGATTTTCCAATGGTTTGAGTGTTTTTCTCCTACCAAATACGAAACTGCTTGATAAATGAACATCCAAATATTAGTGGTATATTATAACCAATATTTATAGCCATTTAAGTTCACAGATGTATTAATATACACAAAAGTCAGTAACTGGCAACCTATATTATTTTATGGCCATCCATCTTAAATATATATGTCTTCAGCTCCAAGGTGAAACACTTCAACAGCCATGATTTAGTTAGCAACAAATCCAACACCACTTGTAGAAAGAATAACTCAAATCTTGTTAACGTCATTTTTATTTATAACAATATCATATATGCTTTAAATATATACCAACACCAGCACAAGCCAATACATATATAGCAGTTCTCAAAGTTTTCAAATGCTCCCTTCACATCTTACTTTCGAGTAAAATAAATCTTAAGTATACTTGCTAAAAAAAATTAGTTTAATCTGAGTTCAGAATCATCATGTTCCAATCCCCAAAAATATTCTATATTATTTGTTTCTGACCATGTTAACCTTAACTCAAATTTTCAGGTTGACTATAGACCTTATAATAAATTATTTTCTTCTTCATTAAAAAACATACTTGTATTATAGCACTCCTAAAGACAGAATTACAGTCGTTTGAAATTAAATTCTTCATCAAAAGATCTAGAAAGGTTAGACCCAGAAAGATTAAAATCCAAAATATTGAATACATTTTCTTATAATCAAATTGTCACAAAGAAAATAAAAAGCAGAAGTCATCAGTCTGACTGACTCTCTCTAGATCATCCAAGTTAAAACTAGATTGGGGGGAAAAAAAATCAAGAACTATGGATTAATAATTCCTCTGAACAAGGTGCTTACAAAATTTCACGGGCCTAATTCACAAAACAAAGCATCACTATTTTTTAATTAAGACAAATTAATAGATTTCAAGAATCACTGTGGTACTCCACAATTTTAACTGAAAACAAAAGCTGTCTGGGATATAAGCAAAACGTATGCTTTTCCACTGTATATCCACATTTCAATAACAAAAACAGCAATCACAGCTTTGTTCTTGCTCCGAGAAAAGAATTTAAGCAATATAAGATTGTGGAATGATTTTCCCCTCTTGCCTCCTCAGGAGGTTGCATTTCGAAAAATAAATTCACATTTTAGAGAAATGGTTTCTGAACCTTAAGAAGAATCAGCTATGAAAGCTATCCAACACAACCCTGGGATTTATTATCTCTTCAACCCCAACTATACGCACAAATGAGATAATTTTGCAAAAATATTAAAAGTAAAGTAGAAAAGTAAACAAACAGGTCCTATAGAAGCTATCACTGAAAGAGACTCTTGAGGTCTCTTAATTTGAAACTGATTGGATGTGGACAAGGACCAATCTTTTCACCTTCCTGTACATTTAGTAAAAAATTATCTTAAAAAAATGACTTACTATCTCAGCAGAAATTAAAATATTCACTTTCTTTCAAGCATTTAGAAAAATTGCTGAGAACTCTTATGGGCTATACTCTACTACTATAAAATCCCCAGGTATACTAAGAACAGTGGCTTACAGGCTTTTTACTTCAAGCATCCTGGAATTTTTATTCAGAAATCATCGAGCTAATAGACTGCTCCATCAGAGATCTGAAATAGCAGAGCTATAAGGAATGGCAAGGTATCACTGGGGATGACTTGGCATGAACATTAGTAGAACCTGGGACAGTCAGCAGCTACTGTGCCAAGGAAAAGCGTGTCATCACTTGGCATTGTAATTTGCTGAATTAGCAAGAAAATAACAGCTGTATAAAATTTCACTGTACAAAGAAATTTCCAATTCATTGTTCATCCACTCTATTATTTATAATAAATGTAGAGGCATATTATTATGTTTACTATGCAAATGAGGAAAGTAAGACTAAGAGAGAGTAACTTGTCCAACATCACAAAGCTTTAACAGAATTTGTTGCTTGCCTCATGTTGCCTCTGCTTTATTTTACAACCTTCCTACTACAGCTGAAAGACTAACTTCATATACTATTACCCCTCCAAAGCAGATGTTTCTGAAAATATGATGTAAAAAGAATAAATTGTAAGAGAATAAATGAATAATCTTTTACAGCTTTCAGGCTTCAATTATTCAGTTATCAGTAGCTAAGGAAAGCTCTTTTAAAAGATACCCTGTATTAGATTTTGAAACATCTTCCCCAAAAAATGGAAAACAAAAATGTAAAGCACATTGATTCTGTGATATTCAATCATTTAACATTTGCTACTAAAAAGGGGATAATTTTGGATCTTAGCATTAGAGCAGCATTTTAACATCTCTGCTTCCAAGAAACCAAAATACTCATCAAAAACTAGAAATCATAACAAATCTGCCTCATTTTTTAAAAGTCACCATTTTGCCTAATACTAAACTTCCCAGAATATATAAGTGAGTCTCAAACCAATTACAATAAAATTGGTCTCCCCAAAGTGCCACTGTCTCCAAGGAGCAACAACAGAACAGTGTGGGTAGCTAGGCTCCAGGCCCTCCCTCTGTCCAGAGGACTCCTGGGATCCTCTATTTCAATTAAAATGCACTCAGGTGGTATTAATTTCCTATTATAACTAGATGACAAGTAAATCCCCTACTCTTTACCACAATATATAAATTTTAAATATATAAATCACAATAGGCTCCTTATGAGGCAATGGAAAGATGGCCTACATACAACACAACAACCACTTTCTACTGATGGCTGTTAAATACAGAATACAATTTTTACAAGTTTTAGGTATATCCCAAATTAATATGTGCAGCCTAGTTCTCAATCTCTCAAATACAGGTTTGTGCCTGTATGGAACACTTTGTGGTTACATTTTTTAAGTCTTCTTAAGTCACTCTTCAAACAAATCCACCCAGAGATGAACAAATGTTACAGCATAACATGCATGGTCCACATTCAAAGTATGGAGTGAGCATCCAAAAACCAAAGGTCACTCCCAGCATGTTTAATTATTTAGGAAGTACCTGACACTGACATTCTCATTCTATAAGAATGACAAATCTCAAAGTTGAACATACTTTAGTCATTTAATTTAATGTTTCTAAAGATTCATGAGCTGCGAAAAGGCAACAACTGTAACACTTTTCAACTGAGAGGCTTTTAGAGATGTTAATAATAAAAAAAAATAAAATAAAAAAAATAAAAAAAGCCCTGGCCAGTTTGGCTCAGCGGTTAGAGCGTCGGCCTGCGGTCCGGAGAGACCCGGGTTCGGTTCCCGCTAAGGGCACGTACTTCGGTTGCAGTTTGTCCCCGGCCCTGGTTGGTCGTGCGGGTGGCAGCCACTCGATGTGTCCCTTCACGTCGATGTTTCTCTCTCTCTCTCCCTTCCTCTCTCTCCCTCCCACTCTATCTGTACAAAAAAAAATCCTCGGGTGAGGATAAAAAAAAAAAAAAAGAGATGTTAATAAGTCATACTACCAATACAAACACAATGAAGTCACTAATAACTGCCTCTATAAAATATTTCTTTAACTCAAGAATAAAGTCTCCATGTAGAAATAAGAGAGTTTAAAATCTGTCACAAAAGCCCAGAGAAACCACATACCACCATATGTGACTAAAAGGAATATGAAGTATTTTTATGAGGTTTTTGACCTAACAATAGTATTAGTAGAGAAAATAGAATTGCCTATTGTTTCTCTAGCAGAAAGGGAAATACCAGATAGCTGTTTTTACAGACATTTAACAACAATATGGCTAATACTCTAGAAAAAGTATTATATAAATTACTCAAAAGAAACAAGAAAATACTTTCAGGCGTGATTAAGACTGTCTGAAGGTAAACACTGACCAATATCAAATTTTCTGGTTTTTAAATT